GGGGGGGGGGGTCACCAATGAAATGAAAATACAGGCCAATCCTGGGCGGGGGAGGGGAATTCAACTGGTCTTCACTGACTGAGCGGCGGCCCCTCCAACTGGCCCCGGGGCCAAATGCGACCCCAGGAAAGGGTGGGGCAGCCCCACCTCCGGGGGTCCCAAAGGCCTTTCCCGTAGCCCAGTCTCAAGGACGGGGGGTGGTGGCTTCTAGCGTCACCGAGGTCCCCTTGACTGCTGCCCCCCCGCCCGGCGCTACCGCTCCCCAGGCCCCGTGGGCAGAGGCTCCTCAGGCTCCTCCCACCCCCAGAGAGAGACCCCAGACTCACCCCAAAGTTTGAGGCGGAGAAGCGGTCGGAGGCAGAGACCTGGGTGGAGGCCGTGGTGTGGGCGTAGTAGGCATTGATGTTGGCCAGCAGGGTGCTCATCACGGCCGGCACTCCGGGACACATGTACTTGGAGGAGAGGCAGGCAAAGTGCCTGCGGGGGGGGGGGGGGGGGAGGGGGGAGAAGAAGCAGCCCCCCCCGGCCCCTCCCCCCGGCCCCCCCCCCCGCCCCCAACCCCCTGCCCGCAGAGCCATTGGAGGCCACCCCAAACTCAGCGAGAGCCGAAGACCCCGAACCCCCACGGCCGGCATCTCTGAGCGTCTGTGGCTGCTGCTGCTGGTGGGGAAAGAAGGCCCTGAAGTGAGACCCCCCCCCCAGCAAAGCCCACCCGCCGCTCCCATCCGGGCCCCTCCCGGAGAGTGTGCAGAGGCAAGGAGGCGGCTCCTGGGCCCCTTCTCCGACCAGCCCTCCGCCTCGGCCTTCCTCCCCGGGGCTCCCAGAGCAAAGCCCTCTCCTGCCCACCTCCACCTTCCAGGACAGGGGCCCCTATTCTCACTCCTGCCCCTCCCTCTCCCGGAAGGCGGGCCGGCCCCCCCACCCCAAAGGCTGGCCCACCCACGTTGGGGATTCTGGCTTTCTTTCCTCGGCCCTTTCTGGGGCGCCACGAAGGCAGGCAACACAACGAGGCCACCTCCGTCTGGACGACGGCAGGACGCGCCCAGAGGAAGGGAGGAGGGGCTCTGCAGACTCCGCCGGGCGGGAATCCTGCAGCCCCAAGGAGGAAAGACTGCCCCCTGTTGCTGCGCCCGGCGGCTCCCCCATCCCCTTCGGTTGGGCTCGACTCCTGCAGCTCAGGGCTGAGGTGGGGAAGGGTTGCCGGGGGCCGGGCGAGGCGGGGGCCCTTCATCAACGGCAGCCAAGTCGAAGAACCTCTCCACCTTCCGGGGTTTGGGGATGAAGCCTCCCCCCCCCTCCCCCAGACTGACTTGGCTGCATCCAGGCTGAGCCCCTCCCTGGGAGGCTGGCACAGGCGCCCAAGGTGGGACTGAGGCCGGTGTGGCCGGGGACTCACGTCATGGCCTGGTAGATGGACTCGATCCCGTAGCGCATGGCAAACTCGTCCACGATCTCCTGGCCGATCTCGTCAAAGTAGACCTTCCAGGCCTCGTCTCCTTTGGCCTCGGGGATCTTCACTACGCCGCCCCCTTGGACGTCCGTCAGATAGTGGAAGAGGTTCTGGAAGGGAGGCCCCGAGAGGGTCTCAGGGAAGGACCCACCCAAGGCCCAGGCGCCTCCCCTGACTGCCCCCCCCGGGCCCGGGTGTGGGTCCTGCTCCCCACAGCGCTGTGCTTCTCCTCCGGGGCTGACGGGGGTTGGCTGCCACTGCTAGGTTGTCACTAGAGGCCCCCCCCAGGGTTTCCCAGCCACTGACTGGCCCCCTGCTTTTGGGGTGCCTCCATGACAGCCCTGCAGGCTGGAACCTCTGGGAGCTCCGGGCTGGTCCGGCACATTCTCTGCTCCCGAGCTTTGGCCAGGTGCACAAGGGGGGGGGGGGGGGGGGGGAGGGGGGCGCCTGGGGGGCCTTTCATGAGCCAAACCGGGTAATCTCATCAGTGCTGGTCTGATGATGGTGAGAGCAGAGCCCTGATGAGGTTTGGGTGCAAGAAAAGGGGGGCCCCCAGGACCCCCCCCGTCAACCCTGAGCTACCAAGATCCTCTTTCCTGGCTCCCTTCGGAACCTCTCGGCCTCTCCTTCCTCCCCCACAGCCCCCCCTGCTGCACTGCTCACCTGAGAGGCCACCCCTGTAAAGCTACACCTCTGCTCTTTAAAACCGGCCGGCATCCTGGGCCTTTCCCGGCAGGGGTGACCCACGCCTGGCGAGGGGGCCAGACCCACCACTCTTGAGAAGGGGATTATCTGCAGGGAGCCAAGGGGGGGAGGGGCGAGGCCAGGGATGCTCAAAAGCGGGGGGGGCTCCTCCTCCAGCCAAGGGGAAGGGAGCCCAGCCGGCCGCCGTGCCTACCTCATGAAGGCAGGTGTACTGGACGTGGTAAGGGGCCACCTGCTCTTCGCCTTTGATCTCCACGCTGATCTGCAGCCGAATGGCGCCCGAGACAGCCGACTTGTCCGTCCTCTTTTCTAGAAGGAACAGACCCCCCCCCCCCCATTCATTCTCATGCCTGGCAGCCAAGGCCGACAGGAGCCCCCCCCCCGGCCACCCTCTGCCCTTTCAGGGGGGCCAGGCTGGCTCTGCAGGCCTGGGGGCAGCCGGGGGCAGCCAGGGGCTCCAGCCACCGCTCTGCTGTGGGGCAAGAGGGGCACGGAAACGGGGCTGGCCCAAGGAGGGGGTTGTGCCCCCGTGGGAGTGGCGGGAGTGGCAGCTCCAACCCCCAGGCTGGGACAGGACGATGAAGCCCACAAGTCTTACACGTGGCCAAGTTGGGGGAGTCCTGGGCTATGGGGCTCTTGGAGGGGGGGGGACCCAAGATTGCCGGCCTCTTTCCTCCACCCCCTGCTCTGGCTGGAGACGCCTCCACATCTGGTTTGCAAGGGGGCCATTCTGGGGCCCGAGCAGCACCCCCTTCTCTTTTCTGGACCCCCCCTTCCTTCCCCTTGAGACCTTCCCTGACTCTGGCCAGGAGGTTCCCGCCCCGAGTCCAGGGACCACACGGAGCTCTCGATCGAGTTGGGGGGAGGGAGGGGGGGCAACTTCTCCACCCCAGCTCTGGACTCTGCCTCCTCCTCCTCCTCCTCCTCCTCCCATGCCCCAAGCTCCTCCCCCTCGAAGCCAAGGCCCTCCGGCCGCCCCCGTGGGAGCATCCCTGCGTCCCCAGCCCCTCCCCAGCCCCAGGGGCACCTGCAGGCTCTCCTTCTCCCGAAGCGCCTGCTGCTGCGGACAGGAAGGACCCACCCAGGTTGTACCAGACGTCCATCTCTCCACTCAGCGTCCGGACTTCGATGATGGTCTGGCCCAGGAAGTCGTCCGACTCCCTCTTCAGCCGCTGCTTGACCCGGGACTTGATGTCGTCGTCTTCATCCCAGACACGCACTTTGATCCGGTCGGAGGAGTTGTGGCACTCACTGCAGGGGCCAAGGGGGGGAGGGGCAGATAGCAAGGTCTGTTGTGCTCTTTCCTGCCCGAGTCCCAGGGCAGCCCAGGCAGGGAGGCAACCGACTCCCCCCCCCAACCCCCCCCCCCCCCCCCCGGGGCTCAGGCTGCAAAGGCCCCAGGCTGTGCTCGGAGGGCCCCAAGCAGTCGGGGAAACAGACACCGACCGGGAAGAGAGCAGCTTTCCTAAGCACAAGACTCACAACTCAGTGTAGAGGAAAGTCCTACACTTCACTCCTATAGACTGGGTGCAACCAGGCTCAATAGCAGGAACTGGGAGGGGGATCTCGGAGTCTGAGTGGACAACCAGCTACATAGGAGCCAGCCGTGGGCAGCAGCCGCCAAAAAGGCCAATGCAATCCTATTAAATTGCATTAACAGTGGGATACAATCGAGATCAAGGGAGGTACTAATACCACTCCATAAAGCCTTAGTAAGGCCACACCTAGAGTCCTGCATCCAGTTTTGGTCCCCACATTACAAAAAAGATGTTGAGGCTCTAGAAAAAGTACAGAGAAGAGCAACCAGGAAGATGAGGAGGGGACTGGAGGCTCAAACATACAACGAACGGTTGCAGGAACTGGGCCTGGCTAGTCTAGTGAAGAGAAGGACCAGGGGAGACGTGATAGTGGCCTTCCAGTATCTGAGGGGCTGCCCCAGAGAGGAGGAGGAAGGGGGTCAAGCTATTTTCCAAGCACCCACAAGGAACAATGGATGGAAACTGATCAAGGAGAGATTTAACCTAGAAATAAGGAGGAATTTCCTGACTGTGAGAACAATCCACCAAGGGAACAGCAGTTGCCTTCGGAAGTTGTGGGAGCTTCACCCCTGGAGGCTTCCAAGAAGAGACTGGACTTCGCTCTGTCAGAAATGGCGCGGGGTCTCTCGCTTACACAGGGGTTGGTCTAGATGACCTAGGAGGCCCCTTCCAACTCTTTATTTTCCGTTATTCCATCTCAGAAGGGTTCCAAGGTTCCCTTGGGCAGCTCTTTCTCCTCCCGGACCCCTTAAGGAGGGAGGGGGCCCGTTGTCACCCAGGGAGCTTCCCAGTCCCAAATCCTGTTTCCCCCTTTGAGCCGCTTTGGACCTGGACCTGGTGGCGGCTTCTGCGTGGCCTTGGTGGCAGGCGGAAGAGAAACCCTCCCGGCTGGGCATTCGCTCCACGGAAAGCAAGGAGCCCCTCCGAGAACTCTGCCCTGGTGCGGGGGGGAGGGGGGGCTTCCTGGGAGGCCCCCTGAGAGGAAGGAGCAGCCCTGCGATGCTTGGGGGGGGCGGGGGGGGCTCAGTTCCCAGGGGCTTCTGCGTGGGAGGCGCTCTGGGGCCGAGGGAGGCTGCTTTGTGGCCGCCCCAAAGGCTCCGCGGTGGCCCTGCCTGCCTTTGCTATGAAGGGGCCGCCTGTTGCCAGGCAACCAAGCAACAGGGGGAAGGGAGTCAGAAAGTGGGTCACACACGCTGGGCCTTGGGGCGCCTCCCCACCCTCTGCCCTCTCGCGGCCGGCCCTGAGCCCCCCCAGCTCCTGGGAGACCCTCCCCCCACCCAGCCTCCCCTTGGGCCAGGCCCTCCCCCGGCCCCCAGGGCCCCCAATTCGGCCTCTTACAGGTTAAGACACATTTAAAAGATCGGGGGGGGGAGGAACCTGAGGCAGCAAAGACACCCCCAGACTCCCGAGGGTCCCGGAGGGCCCCCATTTCTGACAGGGACGGGGGGAGGCCCGGAGGAGGCCCTGCAACTGCCCCAGCAGTCCAAGGCGAGGGAGGGTCTTCCCCTTGCGGCCACCACGGAGCCCAAAATGTCGGTTTTTAAGTGAGATGTTTGTTCAGTGAGTTTTGACCCACTTTACGACCTCCCCACGGAGTTTGCTCGTGAGGAGGTCGGAAAGGGGATCATGTGACACCCCCACCCCCCAGGGACGCTACAGCAGTCGTAAATGTGAGTCACCTGCCGAGGCTTTGACTTTGGGTCACGTGACCCTGGGGAGATGCTGCAAAGGCCGTAAAGCCCTTTCTTCCCTGCTGTCGTAACTCTGAATGGCCACTAAACGGTTGCACATCGAGGACTCCCTCCCCTTGGCCGCCTCCACCAGCCTCCAGCCTCTCTGCTCGCTCCGAGGAGCAATCCAACAGAGGAGCCCCCGAAGGGCCACTTGGGGGGGGGGCTTCTCCCCCCCCCCCCCCCCCCCCCCCCCCCCCGCTCTCCCCATCTCCCTTCTGAGGGCAGCTCTCTGATTTCGCCTTCGGTGAATGTCTCCCTCTCCACTGGCGCCTCTGGGCTTCCTCGAAGGTCCGAGGGAAAGTCACCTTGCCAAGGGTTTAGGGCAGGGGCCCCTCCATTTGCCTCCCCTGGCATCTCCGGCCGCACCAGGGCCCCCCCTTCCTCAGCCTCCAGGCCGCACTGCGCCAGGCGCGCCAGGGGCATTTCGTCTGCACCGGCCACCCTTCCTCCCTTCCCCGGCCCGAGGGATGCTTCAACGGGTGGGGCGGCTCCCCTTGCAAGGGCAGGCGGGAAGGAGCTTCGGAAAAGGCCAGAGACACGGAGCCGGGCGAGAGGCCCCCCCCGCCCCCCCAAATTCCCAGGAGGTAAAGAAGCGGATTCTGCCGGTCTTGCCGTGAAATAAGATATAATCAGCTCAACCGGTGGCGTTTCAGGTCTGGTCTCCCTGGCAAGGCTGGCCCACTTTGGGAGGGGAAGTTCTGGCTTCCTCGTTCGCTCCCAGACAGGAACGTCTCGACTTCAGTCCCTCCGGAAACCGTTTCGCCATCGCTTTTTTCCAGGCTGGGTTCTGGAGTTTCTTCTCCCAGAAGGTTTTTGGGTTGGCCAGATATTCGGTTGAAATGCCAGAGGCAGCGAAGGTGCATTTTTTTTGCGAATGGGAGGAATATTCACCCCCCTGCAAGTCCTGCCTTGTGTTTCTTCCCCCCCCCCCCGTTCTCTCCTCTTCCCTCCACCAACCGTGGCTCCTTTACCCCCTCCCCTCCCCCCCCCGCTGAACCCCCGGCAGGAGCAGAGCCTGGATGTCCGAGCGGGAGGAGCCCAGGGCCAAAGGCCCGGCCACCAGGGCTGCGCAAGGAGGCAGGGGCTGGCCGGAGGAAGCGGCTCTTCAGGCCATTGGTGTGGCTGGAGGTGCCGTGGCCCCACCTGACACGGAAGCCCTGCAACCGCGGTGAGAGGCCGCCTGACAGGGAGAACCATCGCGGGCCCTGGAAGCAGCCTGGCCAGACTAAAGCGCCCTCGGAGGGTCCCAGGGGAAGGGGCTTCCATGTACTCGGGGGGCGGGGGCCATGGAGACACAGAGGCCACCACCGCCTCCCCCCTCTTCTGGAGGCTGGACTCCAAGGCCCATCCTGCTGCTACCTGCCTCTGAAATCAGATTTTGTACGGCAGGCCCCCGACAGAGCCTGCAGGTGTCGTGAACGATAATGGTGGCGTTTCTTTCTCTCTCTTCCTCTCTCGGTTTTACAAGGGAGCAAGTCAAAGAAGGCCAAGGCCCCCTCCGGCTTCCAAGCGGCTCCTAGGAACCTGCTGCTCCCCAGGGACCCCAGGCCTGGCCCGCCTCGTCCAGAGGAGCCCCAGGGCCACCGAAGCCCCCGGCCATGGGGTCCATGGCTCCGAATCCATTCCGCCCGTTTTGAAGGCAGCCAAGTTGGGAGCCAGCGAATTCCAAAGTCCAAAATAATATCCCCCCGCCTCCCCCCGATTCTTCCACTGATTCAGTTCCCTTGGAGTGTTTCTCCTGGACCCCCTGTAATTCTGCCCCCCTTCCACCCACCCCGCCTCATTCAGGCGCCCCAAGGTCCCCACCTCTCCTCCAAGGAAGCTGCTCCCCTCTCGCCCCCCGACCCTCTTAGCTACACCCCCCCGAGTCTTCTCCAGCCCCCCACGGCTCCTTCTGAGGTGTGGGGGGGGCCTGTAACTGTGCACGATGCTCCGGATGTGGCTGCACCACCTCTTTATTATGCAGGCCCCCCACCCAAGGTTGGCCCCTCTCCTCTCAGCCCCGTTGCTTAGGGCGCTCCGTGGGCCACTGGCCTTTCTGACGGGAGCCGATGCCCTTTGCCCGCTTCCCTTAAACTGCTTCTCCTCACCAGTCCCTGCTGTTAACAATCCCACTATCGGTGTGTGCGGAGAGGAACGGCTGCGCCCCGTGCCAACACATCAGTGCCAGAACTCACAGGCTCCACAAGGCCTCGAGTGCCGGAGAAGCCAAGAAGCACCGCCGCCCACAGGGCCCCTGGCACAGCCGTGCCATCCCAGCCCCTCCTGGCATAATGAGGGTTCATTATCCTAATTGTGTCGCCTCCCTTCTTTGCCACCTCCAGGAAGAAGCCGCTGATTAGAGGCCTCTGGAGGAGAAGGCAGGCAGGCAGGGAGAGCCAGGCCTCCAAACACCTGCGCTGGGCAGCCCAGCCTGCCTGGGCCCCGAGAGACGCGGGGGGGTGGGGGGGGCTGCTTCCTGCTCCATGGGCATAGGCACCCCCCACCGAGCGCCACTCAGGGCCGGCTTGGCCACCCGCAGCCAGCCTCCCGCCCCTCCTCTTGGGCCCCCGCTTCCTACCTTGGGCTCGGCTGGGGCTCCGGGCACACGACCCCCGGGGTCACCCCAGAAGGGGCTCCTGCCCGGGTGAGGGGCTCAGAGCCCGGCTCCAAGGAGAGCCTGCCCGCCTGCCCCCCTCGCTCAGGGTGGGACCTCACTTCAGAGACCCTCCTCGGCTGGGCGAGAAGCCACAGACGACGACGGATCCACGCTGGGATTTGGGCGGCCACACGAACCCCCCAAGGAGGGAAGAGGTCCACGTGGGACCTGCTCCCCGGGACACCCGATACGACCCCCCTCTTCCCAACCCCCCCCCCCCCCCCGCCCCCTCCCCCCCCCCCCCCCCGCACACACACCCCTCCCCCCAGTGTCCTTCGGGGGGGCGGAGGAAAGCCGAGGCTGCTGCTACTCACAAGTGGAACTTCTCCTCCCAAACGGGGTTCAGGTTCCCAAAAATGGTCTTGGTCCTCTTCTTCGTCTTGCCCACCTGGACGGTCACGTAGGGGTCGCTGGAGCCGGTCTTGTCCTTGGCCTGCAGGCCTTGGGCGCAGACCACTGTCCGGGGGGGGGGGAAGAGGGAGGAGTCAGGAGGAGCCTCAGGGGTGGGGCTGCCCCTCCCCCCCGGGGGGCTCCCCACTGCCTCACCCGTGATGGTGATCTTGGCCGACCACTTGGAGGTCCCGTCCAGGACGCTCTGCTTGACCACCTTCATCTGCTGCCCGTGGGCCACCTTGCTCTCCCCAAAGACGTCCCGGATCAGGTCGAAGATCTCCGGCTTGTTCCGCTCCCGGATCTTCATCCGGTCCTTCATGGCCATGATGATGTTCTGCGTCCGGTCCTCGGCCCCGTGCTTGGAGCACTTCTCGGCTGCTCCTGCGGGGGGCGGAGGGGGGGGCGTCACCGGGACTGGCCTTTCTGCGCTGCATCGGCCCAGCGGGGTGTGGTGATGCCCTTGGTGGGGGGGTGGAGGGGGGGGAGAGCCACAGCCAGGGAAGGGCAGGATCAGAGGCAGCGGGAGGGGCTGGCAGAGCCCCCAGAGGGGGTCCTGGGAGAGGGGAGCGAGTCTTCTTCGGCAACCGGATTGTCGTCACTAAGCCAGGTGGCCGTAAAGTGCCGTGGTACCATGTGACTCCATCGCTCAGGGCCGGCAATCCTAACCCTTAAATCCTAAGGGACCCCAGAGCCGCCTTCCAGTATCTGAGGGGCTGCCCCAAAGAAAGGGGGGGGGTGTCAACCTCTTCCCCCAAACCCCTGAGGGCAGGGCAGGAAGCAACGGATGGAGACAACCTGGAACCAAGGAGGAGTTTCCCGACGTGTGAGAACTATCGGTCGGAGGGAGGTTGTGGGTGTTCATAACCTGGGGCTTTTTGCTTAAGCAGGGGTTGGACTAGAAGACCTCCAAGGACCCTTCCAACTCTATTTTGATTGACTGAATCCCAGCAATCCACGTTGCCGTCACACCTTGAGGATTGTGTGGGTCAGAGAAGTTTCAGGCAAGAATGGGGGGGGGGGG